TGTCTCAGATCATATGGCCCTGACCTGTGGAGTCCCACAGGGGTCGATCCTGGGACCTCTTCTGTTCAATCTCTACATGCTGCCGTTAGGTCAGTTAATACGCAGAAACAAAGTGTCCTATCACAACTATGCAGACGACACTCAGATCTATGTCTCACTGACTGCAGGAGAACATGGACCAGTGGACTCACTCCTTCACTGTATCCAACAGATCAGTGAGTGGATGCAAAACAACTTCCTTCAGCTAAACGCAGACAAAACTGAAATGATTGTCTTTGGTCCCCAGAAACAAAGAGAGAGCGTCATCTGTCACCTCCAGTCGCTCTCCCTAAAACCTTCAAACAAGGTCAGAAATCAGGGGTAATACTGGACTCAGACTTAAATTTTAATAGCCATATCAAATCAGTAACATCAGCAGCTTTTTACCATCTAAAAAACATTGCCAGGATCAAAAACATAGTGTCTAAAGCAGACTTGGAGATTCTTATCCATGCATTTGTCTCCAGTAGGTTAGACTACTGCAATGGCCTGCTCACAGGTCTGTCCAAACAGGCTGTAAAACAGCTGCAGTACATTCAAAATGCAGCAGCTCGAGTCCTGACTAGAACCAGGAAGTACGACCATATTAGTCCTGACTAGAACCAGGAAGTACGACCACATCAGTCCTGACTAGAACCAGGAAGTACGACCACATCAGTCCTGACTAGAACCAGGAAGTACGACCACATTAGTCCTGACTAGAACCAGGAAGTACGACCACATTAGTCCAGTCCTCAGGTCTCTGCACTGGCTTCCTGTGGCTCAGAGAATAGACTTTAAAACAGCTCTGCTTGTTACAAGTCTCTCCATGGCCTCGCACCAAAATATATTAGTGACATGTTAGTCCCATATGAACCAGCCCGGACTCTGAGGAGCACAGGGACTGGACTCTTGTTAGTGCCCAGAGTCAGAACTAAACATGGAGAGGCAACTTTTCAGATTCATGCTGCTAAAATTTGGAACAGTCTTCCTGAAGATGTGAGACAGGCCTCCTCTCTGACAATTTTTAAAATCTGGTTAAAGACATTTCTGTTCAGCTGTGCATACAACTGAGGGATTTTATATTTCTTTCTTTTTAATGTTCTGTGATTATTTATGATTTAATGCTTTCTTATTTTGTTCAGCACTTTGAATTGCCTTGTGTATGAATTGTGCTGTATAAATAAACTTGCCTTGCCTTGCCTAGGGTGTTTCCTGTTATAGAGTATCCACCTGTTTCCACCCGTGTGCACTTCCTGGTCTTCTTCTTCTTTCTCTTCTTCAGCAGAAACTGTTTTGTGCCAATTAATTATGAGCGATTACCAGAGTCATGATCACCGTCCTCTTCCTCCAAGACGAGTGTGGCGCTGATGACACTCCTCGCACTGAAGCAGCCACAATCGGCCATTACTGCTAATCAATTGAAATCTGCTGTGGCCGTTCCCGTGGAAACCAATTAGACATTTTAATGTGGATGTTCTTATTCACAGAAGTGTGCGGCAGGAGGCGGCCAAGGCATCGATCGGGACCGCAGCTCATAAAGGAGCGGCTCGGACTCTGGTTCATTAAAGGAGACTCAGGAGCAACACGAACCAGGAGGTCACCGAGGAGAACTGTTTGTGTTCAATTCAATTACATTTATTTGTGTATCGCTCTAAATCGCAACAGCAGTGGTCTCAGAGGAGTTCGCCAATGCAGATCAAAACACAGAATCAGAATCAAACAGAACAAACACAGGAAATGCAAGAATAACAAACACACAGCAGCCATTGGTCCAAAAGGAACGGGATGAAAACTGTTCAGAAATATTTTTAAATCTCTTGGATCATCACTGTCCTTAGACCGACCTGCATCAGAGAGAAACCACTCAGAAACAGTGAGAACCCTCAGGGAGACCCACATAGAGGGAGGATCCGCTCCCACAGAGGGACTGTAGATCCAGGACTGAGGCTGTAGACCCATGACTGAGGCTGTAGATCCAGGACTGAGACTGTAGACCCAGGACTGAGACTGTAGACCCAGGACTGAGGCTGTAGATCCAGGTCTGAGGCTGTAGATCCAGAACTGAGGCCACGCAATGAAGGACTGAGGCGGTTCCCAGGCGGTTCCCAGGCGGGGGCGGGGAGCCCACAAGTCCAGACCGGGGGAAAGAGTTCCGCTGGGTTCTGGTGGAGAATAGACTCAAACGAACAAGAATCCCCAGCTCCTCCCACATCATCTCTGGCGTCCAGTAGAAGGAAAGAAAACAAACATGACATTTACACCACAACAGTTAATATCCAAAACTATTTAAACAGATAGATAGATACTTTATTGATCCCCGTTGGAGAAATTCAGGTGACCAGTGGCAGCAAAAATAAAAAAAATAAATTTTATCATTCTAAAAAGCTGACAATAGTCATTATCAGCAACAGCCCCTTCCCGTCACAGCAGCAGAGGTGGAGCAGCCTCTGGGTGGAGCAGGACGGGTCACAGCAGCAGAGGTGGAGCAGCCTCTGGGTGGAGCAGGACGGGTCACAGCAGCAGAGGTGGAGTAGCCTCTGGGTGGAGCAGGACGGGTCACAGCAGCAGAGATGGAGTAGCCTCTGGGTGGAGCAGGACGGGTCACAGCAGCAG